AAAGTAGTTGCGCAAAACGGAGCGTGCCTGCTCTGACCGGTTTTAAAGGGTTATACAAACAGTGTGTGACGGGCAGCTCACTGATGCAAAAATTAAATTATGCTGTACTTTCCTTTTTCAATTTGGAAAATCACATGGTCCTGTTATCTGGGTTTAAGCAGTCTAATCCTTATGTTTTTATAGTCATAAGGGCTGATTTTAACAGGGAGCAAGCTTATTCCTGAACCACTTAATCCCAACTTGTAAAATAAATAAATAAAACCGTGTGGCAACCAAGCAACTGTAAACAGGCTTGTCACTTTGACTGCGAAGACAAAGACGTGAGATCCTACGACATTTTCGAGGGGCCGCACAGGTGGGCCTCTCTACCGGTAATGAGACAGCAAACAGCTAACTCGATCCAAATAATTAAAAAGCTGTCAGTAACTCATTAAGCTGCTTACCTGCTGTTGAAAGGGTTATCCCTGGGTATCACGTGACTGCCACTGGGGCCGATCAAAAAACTGACGCGTTCATAAAAGCTCTTAGAAGAAGACTGGGCGACCGAACTCTGGCTCTGGCTCGCGATGGCAGCTGGGTCAGGTGAGCCACGACAGTAGGTCTGACCCTGGCAGGCAATCTGAGTGCAGCAGTCTGGATCCATGCAGTCGATGAGCCCGTCTGGAAAACAGGAGAGGCGGTCAAGACAGGGAGGAAAAGCTCGGTTGACCTGGATATGTTTGGGTTTGACGAAGGAAAACATAAGCATCTCTATTACTGCGTTCACCTCTGATACACAAAGATGACTTCTTACATGAACTTAAGTTCATTAAAGCACCGACAGAGATCCTGCACTGACACAGAGCGTGACGTGTCTGTCGCCACACGCGAGCCTCAAAAGTTCTGGGGTGTTGATTAGGCCAAGGAGAAGTTCATTAGAAATCCAGCTTGCAGAGTTTTAATATATAGTGCCAACAAGTCTTTATAATTGATCTACTGTATATTTTAAAGCATGCTGTTTAACAATCTGCTCTGCCTCTACATTAGCATATTCTTTCCAGTGATGTTTTATGTATGATTGATTTGTTTTGTTTGTTTGCAATGTCACCGAGGAGCCACATCAAAGCCAGTTTTCTGTCTGGTGCAATGAGAGACACGCACCAGGTTTTTTTTTTTTCCAAGGCTAAAAAGACAATTTGTATGAAGCTTTTACTTCTTCCTACCTCCCTCGTTATCCTTGCCATCTGAACAGAGCGTTTCGGTCGCTACATCGCATCCCAGCCCTCTCCATCCCGACTGGCAGATGCAGTGCCAGACGTTTTGATCCAGGACGCACCTCCCATTGTTGTTGCACAGCCCGGGGCAGCCGTCTGTCAACACATCACGTATATGTCAAACAGCCGAACGCGTCAGGACGAGGAAATCAGGATGAGAAGGCGAGGAAGGGGTGAGGAGACAAGAGCGAAAGGGGCTTTTAGAGTGGACGGAGGAGAAGGAGGGACAAAAATGATTCAAAAAAAAAAGAAGAAAAAAGACAGTAATAAGTGAACGTACGGTACAATACACCTCCAACAGGACTGGGGATGGGGGGCGGGGGAGGTGGGGAGTTGTGAGGCGTTACGGTCGTTTCACATGAGTTTTACTATAATGTGCAACCGCAGCGTAAAGGGAAATATATGGGATAAAAGGACAACAAACCATCTCAGTCGGTTACTTACTGTTGAAAAGCCAGTGGGAGATGCTGCGGATGCTTGTTGAGTCAAATGCTCACAGCAGTGATTTTGTGTTTAAATCAAACTCTGGATGGCTCTTCATCTTTTAAGGTTACACGGATCCTCATACTGTGATTTTTAAATGAACTGCAGTCTCTTAATGTCAATTCCCCAACAATTTTCTTGTTTATATGTGAATCAGCTCTTCTTCTCTTATTTTAGTTAAAAGTTGCACAAATCCCATTTAAGAGGCTCGAAACACTGTCTTGGAAGTTCATTGCTTTTTCTTTTTTTTGTTGTTGCCTGAATAGAATTAAAGCAGGAGTAGTACATTGCAGATGTTAGAAGCACTCATGTGAAGTAACAGCAACATCAAAGGGAAGAGGAAGTGTATGTAAATAGCAGGGAGAAGAGTGAGAAGAGGAGGGAGGGTCTAGAGTCTCCACATTTACAGAAAACAGTGCACTTGCTGCCAGATCGCATTCCTTTTAGTGGAGGGTGAAGACAGGGAGCCCAAACATGACTAAACCACACCAGTTCAGGGCGTTTAATCTGGCAGACACAGGGAATTAAGACAGGGAGGAGAAGGGACCGTGGAGTCTGGTGTGAGACTGGTAAGGACGGACAGGAAATGAGGGGACATATCGAGGGGAGCAGGATCACAGCAGAAACATTATGATCGACTTGGACATAAAACAGGTGTATATACGCCGTGCTAGGAAAGACAAAGAGCAGGGAGGGATTGTTCGTGACAATCTCCCTTGGGGGGGTAGTGGTTCAATTTACCTTTATATCCTATCTTGACTGCTCCTATTACACAACCGAGGAAAGGGAAACATTTGGAAAAGAAAATTACTTATCGCTGTGGTGGCAGAGAGCTAAGACTGACAAACACATTTACTTATTGTAACTTACAGGGAGTACAAAAAGTGGAAACCGTGGTTGGCATAAAGCTGATGTACCTGCCAACTTGGTTTAAATATTTGGAAAAGAAGCTTTGCAGGTAGTTTCCCCGAAGATTATTGCTGTCCTCCCCACGTGTTAGCTGCTGCTCTAATTTCAATCTCTCTCCTCTGTATGTATCACAGTGGTTATGGTGATTGAGCCGAATAGCTAATATTAAGCATGAGTGACAGGATGTTATTGATATTACTGAAAGAGAGGGAAGCGGTGAGCTCACCCATTGCTAACACAGTTCACATTTTTTTAAGCAAAATAAAGGCTGGCTCAGAAAAAAAATATCTAGTGTGTAATTTTCAAGTGTAAAGTGTTTTTTTTT